CATCAGTTTGTCAAATACCTTAAGGTTCGGTTTCCCAGACTGAGATTAAGCCTAGTCCTGGATTAAAATGCATGGTCAAGGAGAATCTTGAAAGGGCTTTTTAGTCCAGGAGTTATCTTAATCTGTGTCTGGGAAACCGCCCCTTGATGGTAATGAACACATTGCTATGTTTCAGCAAATCTCTCTTTGGTGTTGATCTTGTGATGCACTAAACAGAAGTTGACAAACTTTAGGGAAAGACCTGGCACAGAGCCAGCCTCACAGTGAGTTATTTAAAAAGGGGGTTGACATTTGGGAAGAAGATGACTCACACAGCCCATTCAGCCATCTTTAATCCTTGTCATAAGTGGCTATCGCCATCAGAGGGCAGCATAGCATTAATCATCACAGTACATGAGCTCCCTGTGGATCGATAGCGCTGTAAAATGGAGCTTAAAATAACTTTGGCAGCTGCATAGCCTCTGCAAAGCTATGAGAAATCTCTTACATAGCAGTTGTAAAAAAAAAATATATATATCTATTTGGGGCGCAACATAAAGCAGGTTATCACTTGAGTCAGCATACATTAATTCCGTAGTAGGCCTACAGTTACAGCATCATAAATTATTTTTTCAGCATTTGTCCTCACCTTGAATAATCCTTTTATTATTGAAAATGAAAATGCAGGATATTATTTTCTTTATAATTTATTGTAATTTTCCCAAAAAAATTTTTTACTGAGTTTGGAGCCTATATAATTTCAGCTACTTGTAGTTTTGGGTTTCAGTAACATGGTTTTAGTACATCAAAGGCCTATGTATACCCACAGGTCATTTCCTGCACCCAGAGTCGCTTAATCTGAGTCTTTGAAATCAGCCCACAATGCACAGGCGTGTATGCTTACATAAGCGTTTTTGTGCCTTAACTGAATATACTTACAGTCCCAGTCTACTCTTGACAGAGTTCTGGTCATATTTTATAAGTGCTCTATTATAAAGATTTAATTCATTCGCAGTTTAATTTGTTTATGATTAACTGAGGCAAACTCTTGAGTCAGTTCATCTATGCGTCTATCCAATTCACTTATTACCTCCAGAAAGGCTAAAATTTTGGCAGTTCTATATCTCATAATGTTGCTTTTTGCTATTGCCTCAAGGTTCCATCCTTATTTTCATAAAGTTCCAATATAGATTTAAACCCTTTAAGCATATCAATTCTAAATTCCTTGATCATCTGTGGAAAATCATTGCCTTTTAAAACATCATAGGAAGTGATGAGTGGCTCTGGTAGTGATGCAACGTAGTGAAACCATATCTGCCCGCCCAAGTTGGAGTGCCAGGGTGGTGAAAAGCTGCCAGTTTTGTTTTGGCCCTTGGTGGATCACTGTGATTCTAAACAAGCCACCCAGCCCATTATTCACTCACTCCCACTCTCCAGCCCCCTCGGAACTGGATATCTCACTGTTTGATAACATGCCATGTGTCGAGAGGAAGAAGATCAACTTCATGATGCAGAAGTTAGTAAGTGTATACAGCAGAATTTCTCTGCAAGTTATCAATTCATATTGTATTTGCTTATCTTCAGCATCAGGTTTTGTTTGTTGTGATGGAGATCTCTGTGAAATTTGAATTACACGTATCCAGACACTTTATTATATTTATGTCTACATTGACTCAGCTGTGCATTTCTAACACTTTTTCAAGATTGTTGTCTTTTCAACAGTCACCGAGACAGTTGTCTTGTAGCACTGAGAATAGCTGCAGACTGAGTTCAGTTCTGCCAGGGAGGGCAGAACTAATAGTCTGAAAAAATTAACATCTCCAGGGAACAGTTTAGTGTTGTAGTGGCAAACAGTGGCTGTATCTCTTAAGAAGTATACATTTCATGCTGGTTCTTTTCAGCTAAGGGGTGACTCCTAACTTCCATTTCAGTCAAACTTTCACTTAGCCTTTTGACATCCATGACTAAGTGAAAATGTGACTAAATTAGGATTTGCCCGTCAAATGGCTCAACAATGCCATGTGTATTCTTGTGATGTCTTTGTTTTGTTTTCTTTGTTGCTGCTGTCTTCGCCTCTGGACAAATCGTCATTGTAAATAAGAATTTGTTCTCATTTATTGACTTGCCTGTGTAAATAAAGGTTAATAAAATATACAAAATAAGGTAAATAAAACAAATAATTTTACAACTGCCTGCAACCTCTAGCCTAAAGCACCCCATGCTCTGGAAGGCTCTCGCACTCTTACTCTGACTGTGTCTCTCCTCCTCCAGACTCAGAACATCATGTATGACCTGATCTCAGACCTGAACGAGAGAGGGGAGGACATGGAGAAGAGGATCGCCATGCTGGAGACCAAGCTGGAGACACTGCTGGGGAACCTGCAGGCCCTGCCAGGACTCATCAGCCAGGTCATCAGCCAGCAACACAGGGACTTCCTGGAGGTGCAGTTCCAGCCGTACGACAAACACAGCCCTGAACGATCGCAGTCTGTGTCCAGACGGAGGTCCTCCTCCACGGCACCACCCACGTCTTCCGAGAGCAGCTAGAGTCCAAGGGGAACACCTACAGAGAAGACTTTTGCCATCATATGGCCAAGTTTCATTTATTGTAAAGCCTTATGGTTTCAATAAGTATTATCCAAATTCTGATGACAGAATCCGAGTTACCGGGACAATGGATTTTAAAGGGATGCTGTTTTTTTATTACCTCAAAAGATGTTGTTATCCTTGCTCTGGTGACATGACCATAGAAAATGATGCTTTCCTCAGTAAAAAACGATTAGGCCTATCGATGGGGGCTGTTATCAGAACTATACTCCATCTCTATGCAGAGGTAGCCAGTTTTAGGACAGCAAGGTTACCGGCCGGGTGTGAAGATAATGCACTAAAATAGTGCTTCTTCTCACTGACTTTGTACTTTTGCTGGCTTGATTCAGTTACCGTGTTCCTTAAAGCAAGCTGAGAAATCATGGGACCTGTCAATCAGCAAGCATTACAGTAATACTTTTTATTGAGGAAAAAGTGATATATTTCATGGACATGACTGAAATGAAGACAGAGGGCAGCACAAGAATGCACCCACTTACTGTCACTCAGAGGTACCATATAGAGCTTGAAATATATCTTTTAGGTTAGAAACAGCATCAACTATAGTGTTTTTTCTTTTGCAGAGTGCCCCTGTAGAATGACTATTTTTGGGGCCACACTGCAAACAATTTAATCCTCTTATCAAAATGAATGCATCCAAATCTGTACTTGCACTTACTTTTTAATCAATGCACTTCAATGCTGACTGACATATGATATAAATCTGTGTTGCTCATTAAAATAAGAACAATTTAGATGTTTGGGCATGGATTTATGGTCAATTCTCAATTAATTACTTTTTAATTATTAGTGAAGATGACTCAAGTCAAAACCATCATGCTATGTACCACAAAGGGACCTAAATTTCAAACTGATAGGCTACTGAAATGAATACTTTCAATTATCACAAACACGGTTTGCTCTTTCCTCAACATATCTCAACCCTTGTCCTGGAAGCGCTTAGTATTTTTGCTGGTTTTTGCCTCAGCTGAGCAACAATAGTTGGATGCAATGCAAACCAATAATTCACAAGAACTGTAGCTCACTTTTAAAAGTCATTCATATTTTTCTATTTTCATGAGGATAAGCACACCTCCGCACACTTACAGAATATGTCTTTAACACAATATTTACAAGCAAATAATGATGGAGAGATGTGAACAGAATAAATGATGCAACACATTGCATTGGTTGAGGTGAAATCCAGCATATTCAACATATCTTCCATTAAACCTCCAGGACCAAGGTTAAGATACCATGTTGGAAATGATAGGAATACACATTGTTAGTTCAAAAGGAATGTATAGAAGTTGGTATAGCAACTTACTGTATTAGAGGGCTGGGCCTGATCACTAAAATGTCAAAACCTAACTGCAAAAAAATAATCTCTGACACACATAATTGTGCAAATATTGTATGTGCTCAAGATTATAGAATTAGATTTCAACAAAGCTTTGTCCCTTTGTTTTAAACAGCAATAGCTTGGCCACTAGCCAGTCATAATGGTAAATAAAGGTAACCTTCCACTATTTATACACATTTTGGCAATATGCACCCTCCCTCTGCAAGGTTTTCAGAAGTTAGATGAGTACGCCATATTCATCCGATGGGCATTTATCTAGTCAACTTCCTGCAATGACCTTGTCCAACCAACCAAAAGCTCAATCCCATCTACAGTGTTGAATGTACTGTTGTTGGTTTTAGAGCTTTAAAACAATGCCAGTCGATCCAGAAATTTTAGCAACATAGAAACTTTTGAGAGATTATGTACTGTATGCGAACGAAATATTAAACAATAAAAAAATGTATATTTACCAGATGCGTGTGCATTACTAATACATCCATTTGACTGGGGAGAGGGAGGAGAGAAATACCACAGTGTGCAATCACAGCAGCAAGATTTGTGACCTGTTGCCACAAGAAAAGGTCAACCAGTGAAGAACAAACACCATTGTAAATTCAACATATATTTATTTTCCCCTTTGTACTTTAACTATTTGCACATCATTACAACACTGTATGTAGACATAATATGACACTTGAAATGTCTTTACTCTTTTGGAACTTTTGTGAGTAATGTTTACTGTACATTTTTTTTGTTTATTTCACTTTTGTTTATTATCTATTTCACTTGCTTTGGCAATGTAAACATATGTTTCCCATGCCAATAAAGCCCCTTAAATTGAATTGAGAGAGAGCGTGCATTAGCCTTTTAGTGTGATTAATTATGCAGTGTCAGATACATTAGTTTGATTTGTCAAATCCAAGCATGAATATTGTATTTGAAATGTGTTACATAATTTCTGCGAAGTCTATGTCATTGTTGTTGCACGAAATATGTCATGTCAGCAAAACTTTCATAAATCTGCAAACAACTTCATTCCGGTAGGTGGCGCCAACGGCGTCGCGTTTTCTGAGTTCACGGTTTGCCGGCTGCCTCTTCCTCCTAGCGAGAGCCGCATACAGACCACAGGTTGAACGCATGAGTGCTAGCTGTTGCTAGTTAGCCTTGTATGCTTGCGTGATAAAAACTCAACAATTTAGCAACTTTACTATTAAACGTGTTTAATCGTTATAGGTGATATCATCTAAGGACCAGCTACAAGATGAGTTTACTCGCCAAAATAGCAGAAATTGAGGCCGAGGTAAGTTAGCTAACGGTAGCTGTGATTCACGTTTTAGCTTGGCCACTTGACTAACGTTACGTTAGCGAGCTACTATAGTTGGCTAAAGTTAACTTGGCTAATCGAGGACGTAACGTTACAATGGATTTCTCCCCCTCAAAACATATTATATAACATAATATGATGGCAGACACCCAAGTCTGAGCATAGCTGGGTGTTATTTAGCTAAGAATTCTCAACTCTACGTTAGTTTTTAACGTAGATACTAGCTCGGTAGTTGGCTACTGTAGTTAACTTTAGCTGGCTATGTGTTATTATTGGCAGGGTAACTAGTTGTCTGAAGATACCGACCCTACCTTTACTCCACAGAACAATAAGCTAGATGTTTCACCGGATGTATAAATCTGAAGCATTCGGTTGGTGTTTCCACTCACCACCAAATATGGCGATGAGAGGAAGTCCAGCAGTGGGAGAAGATGCATTTTGACCGAGATTCTGCTAATTTTCTCACCGATTAAACATTTGATGTCAAAACAGTTTTCTGTTCCAAAACGATAAACTGTTATGAACAGAGTGGACAACATTTTGTAGACTTTACCCTTTGCCAAAGTTTCAAAAAATTGCATTGTTTTTGACGTCCCCTAACGGAAATATGCAAATAAATGGGTCATTTCAGCAAGCCATGACACACACCATCTCAGATTGTTCTGAAATAGCTTCTGAAGTTAGAAACAGATAAATTCGTGAAACTTTTTTTTTTCATTTAATTTGATCTCTGAGAAATTAAGCAAATTGATTTCACCCAAATGGACCCTTTTTTTTAATTTATAGGATTCACATAATGTTCAACAAATATAGTACCCAACATCCGATTAAGTCCAGACTTATTCCTACCATTGAGTAAGACATGAGGAATCCAATAAAATGGTCAAAGGCCAGCCACAGACCCCCCACATGCCAATCCCACCCCAACAACCAGTATACAGAATCGGTTCTCTATGTCTGACAACTAGTATGGAGCTGCGGCTTGAAGTAATGCTTCTTTATCCTTTGTAATGTATTTCCTGTGAATCTGATTATTTCCCCCCCCTTTAGATAAATTAGCCATTTGAAGTCGTTTGCATTATTTACCATGAATTCATGTGAAAGTACCATGTTTTGCCCACTAGATGCCGCTGTTCCTGCTACTGCCACCACACCCAGTAATCAATTTTGCTGGTCTCTTGTGTTTTTTAAAGGGATCACAACATTTGCTTTGCAACTTTGGGTAGAAAACCAATACCTTTTGCTCCTGATGAAAATAAATGATGTGGTCAACTGTGTAGTCAAGCCAGTCCTCCATGAAAGCAATACAGTTTGTCCTTCTCTTTGCAACCTAATGCTTCAACCCAACTCTCCTTGAATAGTCCAACAAATGGCAGCTCTCTGAGAGGGCTATCTGTATCGTGCAATTCTCATATGAAGACTTTTCCTACCAGCCCAGAACTTTGATGGAGAAACAGGCTAGTGACAAAAATCTTGTCACAACCCTAATAAAATAATACAATTATAAACCTTTGCATTGCAGTCATGTTTTTCAATACAATTATTAGAAAACATCTATATGTGATTGGTGACATTTTGATCATTTTACTGGATTCCTCATGTCATACTATTTATTAGGAAGAATTATGGCCCAAATCGGATGTTGGGTACTATATTTATTTATTGAAGATTATATGAAACCTATAAATTAAAATGGCAAATTTGAGTGCAATCAATTAGCTTAATATTTAAACAAAGTAATGTTTCAGGAATGCTAATCTCATCAGTTTCTAACTACAGAAATTATTTCAGAAAATCTGACATAGTGTGTGTCAATGCTATTTTTTTGTGCTTTTTGAATTGGAATGACTCATGCTAGAACGTGCCAATAGGATCTCGCTAGCTTGCGCTTGGCTCTGCCCACCTTCTTGCTTGTTCTACCCTCTATGATGAATTTGCTCCCATTGCAAACAACAGGCAGTGGTCTATCTTGGGTTAGTTATAAAAAATATTTGGTTACACTTGTTTACACAGACCTGTGTCATGTAAAAATCTACCCAGCCTGAAATAGTTCCCAGTCGTTCTGAATGTGACGTTATGTTGAAAAGAAAATGTCACAGTGTGAAATAATTGCATGTGCGTCTGTGTGGATGGCTGAGCTCGTACAGATAAATAATATATCAGAATGAGCAATGTCAGAGTCCCGAACATAAATAGATATACACTGAGTGTACAAAACATTAGGAACACCCCTTTTGCCATCAGAACAGCCTCAATTCGTCAGGACATGGACACTACAAGGTGTCAAAAGCGTTCCACAGGGATGCAGGTCCATGTTGACTCCAATGCTTCCCACGGTTGTGTCAAGTTGGCTGGATGTCCTTTGGGTGGTGGACCATTCTTGATACACACAGGAAACTGTTGAGCGTAAAAAAAAAACAGCAGTGTTGCAGTTCTTGATACACTCAAACCGATACACCTGGCACCTACTACCATACCCCATTCAAAGGCACTTAAATATTTTGTCTTGCTTATTCACCCTCTGAATGGCACATATACACAATCCATGTCTCAATGCTTGAAAATCCTTCTTTAACCTGTCTCCTCCCCTTCATCTACATTGATTGAAGTAGATTTCACAGGTGACATCAATAAGGGATCATAGCTTTCACCTGGTCAGTCTGTCATGGAAAGTGTTCCTAATGTTTTGTACACCGGCCAGTTTATTAAGTACACCACCCCGTTCACAAATGAATCGCACCTACAGACAGTGAGTCACGTGGCCGTGGCTTGTTATGTGAAGCAGGCAGACTGGCATCGAGGCATTCAGTTACTGTTCGATTGAACGTTAGAATGGACAAAATGAGTGACCGAAGCGACTTTGAGCGTGGTATGATCATCAGTGCCAGGCTCACCAGATACAGTACCTCAGAAACAGTCGCTATCCTGGGGTTTTCACAGCTCGTTGATGAGAGAGGTCGAAGGAGAATGCCTAAAATCATGCAAGCTAACTGGTGGGACACAAACAGACAAATAACAGCGCAGTACAACAGTGGTGTACAGAATGGCATCTCGTCGATCCTTGTCACAGATGGGCTATTGCAGCAGACGACCACAACGGGTTCCACTCCTATCAGCTAAAAACAAGTAGAAGCGGCTCCAGTGGGCACGCCATCACCAACATTGGACAATTGAGGAGTGGAAAAACATTGCCTGGAACATGACAGCAAGTTTAGTTCACTTGAGTGGCCTGCGCAGTCCCCAGACCTCAACCCAATAGAGCATCTTTGGGATGAGATGGAACCGGCTGTTCGCAGCCTGAATGTACCGCCGTCCAATCTGCAGCAACTGCGTGATGCCATCGCGTCAGGATGGACCAACATCCCTGTGGAACGTTTCCGACACATTGTAGAATGCCCAAAGAATTCAGGCTGTTCTGGAGGGAAGGGGATCTGACCCTGTACTAGATGGGTGTACCTGATAAACTGGCCGGTGAGTGTATATACAAAAAATGGTGTGTATGGACAGTATATGAATGGAAAAGGCGGGTACAGCAGTAGTTATATAGGATGAGCCATGACTAGAATACAGTATATACATATAAAGTGGGTAAAACAATATGTTAACATTATTAAAGTGATCAGTGTTCAATGACTATGTACATAGGGCAGCAGTCTCTAATGTGCAGGGTAGAGTACTGGGTGGTAGCTGGCTAGTAACAGTGACTAAGGTTCAGGGCAGGGTATTGGGCGGAGGCCGGCTAGTGGTGACTGTTTAACATTCTGATGGCCTGGAGATAGAAGCTGTTTATCAGTCTCTCGGTCCCAGCTTTGATGCACCTGCACTGTCTCCGCCTTCTAGATGGTAGCGGGGTGAACAGGCTGTGGCTCGGGTGGCTGAGGTCTCTGATCTTCTTGGTCTTCCTGTGACACCGGGTGCTGTAGATGTTCTGGGGGGCAAGGCAGTGTGCCCCCAGTGATGCGTTGGACTGACTGCACTACTCTCTGGAGAGCCCTGTGGTTGCGGGTGGTGCAGTTGCCATACCAGGCGGTGATACTGCCCAACAGAATGTTCTCAATGATGCATCTGTAGAAGTTCATGAGGGTCTTAGGGGCCAAGCCGAATTTCTTTAACCTCCTGAGGTTGAAGAGGTGCTGTTGTTCCTTCTTCAGAACGCTGTTGGTGTGGAGGGACCATTTCAGGTCCACAGTGATGTGCACGCTGAGGAACTTGAAGATTTTGACCCTCTCCACTGTAAAACTATTCGGTGTAATGTTCTTCTCCCTAAGTTCTTCTCCCTAAATTCCCTTTCCCTTAGAATTGGTTAGCCTAGGCTTTAAACCCCCTAAACATAGACCGGTTCCACACAGAAAATATGCAAAAACATTTGTTCGATAAAGACAGAGCATATTTTCATAAGAATCATTAAGCCTAAGCCTACTCACCAAACAGATGTCGTGGCCGTAACTCATCACCATGCAGTGTTCAATGTGTAATTGTTAATACATTCAGAAAATTCCAAAGAACGGGCAGAATAAACTAAATCGAACCTCTGTAGCTCAGTTTGTAGAGCATGGCGCTTGTAACGCCAGGGTAGTGGGTTCGATCCCCGGGACCACCCATACGTAAAAATGTATGCACACATGACTGTAAGTCGCTTTGGATAAAAGCGTCTGCTAAATGGCATATTATTATTATTATTATCTGTACAGTTGAAGTCAGAAGTTTACATACACCTTAGCCAAATACATTTAAACTCAGATTTTCACAATTCCTGACATTTAATCCTAGTAAAAATTCCCTGTCTTAGGTCAGTTAGGATCACCAATTTATTTTAAGAATGTGAAATGTCAGAATAATAGTAGAGAGAATGATTTATTTCAGCTTTTATTTCATTCATCACATTCCCAGTGGGTCAGAAGTTTACATACTGTCACGACTTCCGCCGAGGCTGTCCCCCCTCCTGGTTCGGACAGGCTTCGGCGTTCGTCGTCACCGGAGTACTAGCTACTGCCAATCCCATTCTCATCACTCCACTTGTCATATCTTGTCAATCACACACACCTGGTGCTCATTCCCCTTGTCTTTTGTGAGTGATTGTTTTGTTGTGAGAGCGTGTAGCTCGGTTGAGCTACATTTCACTGTGTTATTGCCACGGTGGATGTTTTCCCTTGTACAGTTTCGTTTGACGCTTGGGGTGTTTGATTTATGCAAACGGATTAAACTCTGGACTTCGGTATTTTACCTCCTGCGCCTGACTCCTTCTTTCACACCTCGTCACACATACACTCAATTAGTATTTGGTAGCATTGCCTTTAAATTGTTTAACTTGGGTCAAACGTTTCGGGTAGCCTTCCACAAGCTTCCCACAAGTCAAGTTTGTAGGCCTCCTTGATCGCACACGCTTTTTCAGTTCTGCCCACACATTTTCTATAAGATTGAGGTCAGGGCTTTGTGATGGCCACTCCAATGCCTTTGTTGTCCTTAAGCCATTTTGCCACAACTTTGGAAGTAGGCTTGGGGTCATTGTCCATTTGGAAGATGCGACCAAGCTTTAACTTCCTGACTGATGTCTTGAGATGTTGCTTCAATATATACACATAATTTTCCTTCCTCATGATGCCATCTATTTTGTGAAGTGCACCAGCCCTTCCTGCAGCAAAGCACCCCCACAGCATGATGCTACCACCCCTGTGCTTCACGGTTGGGATGGTGTTCTTCGGCTTGCAAGCCACCCCTTTTTCCTCCAAACATAACGATGGTCATTATGGCCAAACAGTTCTATTTTTGTTTCATCAGACCAGAGGACATTTGTCCAAAAAGTACAATCTTTGTCCCCATGTGTAGTTGCAAACCGTAGTCTGGCTTTTTTATGGCGGTTTTGGAGCAGTGGCTTCTTCCTTGCTGAGCGGCCTTTCAGGTTATGTCGATATAGGACTAGTTTTACTGTGGATATAGATACTTTTGTACCTGTTTCCTCCAGCATCTTCACAAGTTCCTTTGCTGTTGTTCTGGGATTGATTTGCAAAGTACGTTTATCACTAGGAGACAGAACGCGTCTCCTTCCTGAGCGGTATGACGGCTGCGTGGTCCCATAGTGTTTATACTTGCGTACTATTGTTTGTACAGATGAACGTGGTACCTTCAGGCATTTGGAAATTGCTCCCAAGGATGAACCAGACTTGTGGAGGTCTACAATTTTTTTTCTGAGGTCTTGCAAGCTGTTTAAAGGCACAGTCAACTTAGTGTATGTAAACTTCTGACCCACTGGAATTCTGAATTATTATAAGTGAAATAATCTGTCTGTAAACAATTGTTGGAAAAATTACTTGTGTCATGCACAAAGTAGATGTCCTAACCGACTTGCCAAAACTATAGTTTGTTAACAAGAAATGTGTGGAATGGTTGAATGACGAGTATTAATGACTCCAACCTAAGTGTATGTAAACTTCCGACTTCAACTGTATATCGAAAAGAAGACAGATTTTGTTTTGTAATCCTGAAAGAATTGTCTTTGTCAAATTGAGCCCCGTTTCAAATTATGTTTGAGAATAACTGTTCCTTTCGCGAGATGCGCATCACTTCGTAGTGTCAACTTTTTTAATTTGGAAAAATATTCTGTTCTATTTTATTCTGTTATATTACATCAGGGTTGCCCAACCCTGTTCCTGGAGAGCTACCCTCCTGTAGGTTTTCGCTCCAACCCCAGGTGTTACTAACCTGATTCATCTTATCAACCTGCTAATTTTTAGAATCAGGTGTGCTAGATTAGGGTTGGAGCAAAAACCTACAGGACGGTAGCTCTCCAGGAACAGGGTTGGGCAGTCCTGTATTACGTCATGTTTTTTTTACTATAAAGTAGGTGTCTTGACTATGATAAGGGCTCTGGAAATAAGAGCGTCTTGTCTGCTAAATTAAGAAAGCAAGGCTATGCCATTACACAGCCATATGTTTTTACAAGCAAATCGGATCAAATTGTATTGGTCGCATACACATATTTAGCAGATGTTATTGCGGGTGTAGCGAAATGCTTGTGTTCCTAACCCCAACAGTGCAGTAGTATCTAACAATACACAGCAATACACATTAATGTAAAAAGTAAAATAATGGAATTAAGAAATATATAAATATTAGGACAAAGGGCCACTGCTTAGGTTACTGCCTTTTTGAAGATTGTGTTCCATGATATTAATATAACCAGTTGATTATATTATATATGGTTGAAATAAATTAATCTTAAATGGCACTTGCTTTTTTATTGACTGAATATACAGTACCAGTCAAAAGTTTAGACAAACCTACTCATTCAAGGGTTTTTCTTTATTTTTACTATTTTCTACATTGTAGAAGAATAGTGAAGACATCAAAACTATGAAATAACACATATGGAATCATGTAGTAACCACAAAAGTGTTAAACAAATCAAAATATATTTTATATTCTTCAAAGTAGCCACCCTTTGCCTTGATGACAGCTTTGCACACTCTTGGCATTATCTCAACCAGCTTCACCTGGAAGGCTTTTCCAACAGTCTTGAAGGAGTTCCCACATATGCTGAGCACTTTTTGGCTGCTTTTCCTTCACTCTGCGGTCCGACTCATCCCAAACCATCGCAATTGGGTTGAGATCGGGTGATTGTGGAGGCCAGGTCATCTGATGCAGCACTTCATCACTCTCCTTCTTGGTCAAATAGCCCTTACACAGCCTGGAGGTGTGTTGGGTCTTTGTCCTGTTGAAAAACAAATGATAGTCCCACTAAGCGCAAACCAGATGGGATGGCTTATCGCTGCAGAATGCTGTGGTAGCCATGCTGGTTAAGTGTGCCTTGAATTCTAAGTAAATCACTGACAGTGTCACCAGCAAAGCACCCCCACACCATCACACCTCCTCCTCCACGCTTCACGGTGGGAACTACACATGCGGAGATCATCCGTTCACCTACACTGCGTCTCACAAAGACACAGAGGTTGGAACCAAAAATCTCAAATTTGGACTCATCAGACCAAAGACAGATTTCCACCAGTCTAATGTCCATTGCTTGTGTTTCTTGGCCTAAGCAAGTCTCTTCTGCTTATTGGTGTCCTTTAGTAGTGGTTTCTTTGCAGCATATCAACCATGAAGGCCTGATTCACGCGGTCTCCTCTGAACAGTTGATGTTGAGATGTGTTAGTTACTTGAACTCTGTGAAGCATTTATTTAGGCTGCAATCTGAGGTGCAGTTAACTCTAATGAACTTATCCACTGCAGAAGAGGTAACTCTGGGTCTTCCTTTACTGTGGCGGTCCTCATGAGAGCCAGTTTCATCATAGCGCTTGATGGTTTTTGCGACTGCACTTGAAGAGACCTTCAAAGTTCTTGAAATTTTCCGGATTGACTGACCTTCATGACTTAAAATAATGATGGACTGTCGTTTCTTTGCATATTTGAGCTGTTCATGCCATAATATAGACTTGGTATTTTACCAAATAGGGCTATCTTCTGTATACCACCCTTACCTTGTCACAACACAACAGATTGGCTCAATCGCATTAAGAAGGAAATAAATTCCACAAATTAACTTTTAGCAAGGCACACCTGTTAATTGAAATGCATTCCAGGTGACTACCTCATGAAGCTGGTTGAGAGAATGCCAAGAGTGTGCAAAGCTGTCATCAAGGCAAAGGGTGGCTACTTTGAAGAATCTCAAATATAAAATATATATGTGTTTAACACCTGTTTGGTTACTACATGATTCCATATGTGTTATTTCATAGTTTTGATGTCTTAGCTATTATTCTACAATTAAGAAAATAGTAAAAAATTAAGAAAAACCCTGGAATGAGTAGGTGTGTCCAAACTTTTGACTGGTACTGTATATATATATATATATATATATGGTAGTATTTCAATTTAGCAGTATTTCAATCTTCTCGATGGAGCATTGTGAATAAAGGTAAAATTTGCACTACAGTGGCATATCTCATCCCTGCATTGAGGTACGTTTTCCAACCCATGTCTCCCGCCGGCGCCACTGTGTCTTAATGCAACCGTGATTACGTTCCGACCTCAGTGCAGCTCAGTATAAACAAGTATAATGGTGCTGTCCGTGTCATGATGACAATATGTTTTCTTTATTAGTGATCAGTCGAAATCCAGCCATCACACAACTTGGCTCTGAACAAGTAGGCCTAGCTAATATTCTAGTTCTGATTGTTGTATTGTGTAGAATATGAATGAATTAAAGCATCCTCTCTGTGTTGGGTAGATGGCTCGGACTCAGAAGAACAAGGCCACATCTAACCACTTGGGGCTGCTCAAAGCTCGCCTGGCCAAGATGAGGAGAGAACTTATCACACCAAAGGGAGGCAGTGGAGGAGGCACAGGGGAAGGTGAGTCCGGACTCCTGATCATCATTCATTTTTAGAATGTGTCCCTTTGCTACACAACAGTGCAGTGGAGATGTAGCGAGTTGAGATTTACAAGCTCGTGTCACATTGTAATGAAATCTAATTTGTCACTCTGTTGTATAGGCTTTGATGTGGCAAAAACAGGTGACGCCCGTATCGGGTTTGTAGGGTTCCCCTCGGTGGGCAAGTCTACTTTACTAAGTAACCTGGCAGGGGTGTACTCAGAGGTGGCAGCCTATGAGTTCACCACCCTCACCACAGTACCAGGAGTGATCCGTTACAAGGGTGCCAAAATACAGGTACTTTACTTGCATCTTATACCTTTCACACTGCACCTTAAGGCCAACAGAGGCCAATCTGTACAAACAGTGATAATTTGATTTTTTTCTACAAATGTTTTAATCTTTGTCATTTCTTTAAGATGTTTTGCAGGAGAATATATTTTAGTATTAGGATGCTTATTCTACTTTTGTGTCTCCAAGCTCCTGGATCTCCCAGGTATCATCGAGGGGGCCAAAGATGGCAAGGGCAGAGGACGACAGGTCATCGCAGGTGAGAACCACCAGTGAAGCATCAGAACCATACACAAACTACATGTGACAGTTTAGAGCGCACACACGTGCCACACTCACATACCTTGAAGGTAGTTTGTAACTGTGGTCTTTCTCTTCCCAGTGGCTCGAACCTGCAACCTGGTCCTCATAGTGTTGGATGTTCTGAAGCCTCTGGGCCACAAGAAGCTGATTGAACACGAGCTGGAGGGCTTCGGAATCCGCCTCAACAAGCAGCCGCCCAACATCGGCTTCAAGAAGAAGGACAAAGGAGGCATCAACTTCACCGTCACAGTACGTGTTTAACACAACGGTTTCACGTCCAGCTCAATCTGTCCCTATTTCTCTCTGTGTCTCTCTCTCTTTAGAGCTGTCTGTCTATCTATGGAGGTTGATCGATCTTTTGTCTCTCCCTTTCGATTTCAATGGGCTTACTCTGGTGTTCTTCCTTTCTCTCTCCTTCTCTCCAGTGTCCACAGAGTGAGTTGGATGGTGACGCAGTGAAGAGCATCCTGGCCGAGTACAAGATCCACAACGCTGACATCACCCTGCGCAGCGACTCCACGGCTGATGACCTCATCGACGTGGTGGAGGGAAACCGGTAAGCAGCTGAGCACTTCTACAAACTCAGGGATGTAATCTTCCTGATTAAGCAGGAACTCCTGTTTTTCTGACATAATCCTCCATTCATCTATAATTGGGTCTGACCTATACCCCCTAGCCAAAATACTGCTATACCCCATTCCAAAGTATGGTCAACGCTCCCCTACAGACCTGCTGACAGACATGCTCTGTTTAATCCCACCAGAGTGTACATCCCCTGCATTTATGTACTCAACAAAATCGACCAGATCTCCATTGAAGAGCTGGACATCATCTACAAGGTGCCCCACTGCGTGCCCATCTCTGCCCACTCCCGCTGGAACTTTGACGACCTACTGGAGAAGATGTGGGACTACCTGCACCTAGTGCGCATGTAAGGAGACGCTCTCTCAACCTAACAGCCCGTAGAAGGGACATATAGGGTTATTGGAAACCATATTACACTGCTTGATAAATGTGTGGTTTGTGTCTAAATTCATTAATAATTTGAATGTGTTGTCCCCCAGATACACCAAACCCAAAGGCCAGCTTCCTGACTACACATCTCCAGTCGTTCTACCTACTGAACATACTACAGTAGAGGACTTCTGTCTGAAGATTCATAAAAGCCTCCTCAAAGAATTAAAATAGTGAGTACTAACTACACTATTGACTAATGGCTTTTGTGCTTCTTGTTGATGTTTTGGAAATGACTGAGGTATACCCACCCCAGTATTTAACCGATTTAAAGCCACAATCTGTAAGAAATAAAGAACTCACCAAATGCACATAGCTGCCACTAGGTGTCCAATGTTAACAATTGAATTACCGTTCAAGGGAGAGCACAGCACACAGACATATATGATACAATGTTGCACCTGGCTGGTATTTTTCTAACACTCAGTTATCCTGTCCTTTCAGTGCTCTGGTGTGGGGTGCTTCAGTGAAACACAACCCCCAGAAGGTGGGAAAAGACCATGTCATGGAGGATGAGGACGTAATCCAGCTGGTGAAAAAGTAAAAGGACTCCTGACTCACTGCATCACAGGGAATAGTCTGCTGCTCATGAAAACCCCCCTCAAACATATCCACGAGAACATCTGTGTCTTGTGGTTCTCAATTTTATGTTGGAATTTTCAAACTGAAAAGAAAAAATTATATGAATGTCAATGTTGCATTTACCTCCCTCATTTATACCCGTATGTGATTCATAACATCCATCGAAGAGGTATGAGCCTTGAATATAACATTTTTAATCAAATAAACACCATAAAAAGGACTATTTTATTATATGAAGTCATCGTCTTTTATTTTGATAATTATAAAGGCCATTGGGTTTATGCCTGGAAAGATACACTGTAATTAATGTTGAACAACACTGAATTAATATAACATTCACGTTTCCCTTCATATGAAATACATCCACATCCTGTCCCAGTGACATGGATGTGTCCTGCTCCATCTGTCTATACTTTCACTGGTGAGACTGTTCTTATGAAATACATCCTAAAACATAGTGGGTGTATGATAGCTCCATCTCCTCTGGAAGTCAAGCGATACCCCTGGACTAGACATTACTTACCCAGAGACCATCTCACGGTGTCCAATACAACGGCTTTATTTGAAAGGCCTGTCGGCCACTGATTTATATAAAATCGGTGATATAGTCAGGCTGGCATCCCACCCCCTCTCTCCAGCACGGACAGTCTCTCAGGTTAATCAGTTCATTCACTCAGACACAGTCTGGGGACATTCTACCCCAGCTGTTCAGAAACACCAATAACCCACAGTAGTGAATAGCATTTCATCAGATCTTGAAGCACTTTGGTGTGTATGGATTATCTAATGCCGATGTGTAGCAACCCAGCTGTATGAGATGGATCAGCCATTTTGTGTGAGAAGTCGCCACGTTAGCAGTTGCGAGGACAAGAGTCATTTTTTTTTTGGGGGGGGGGGGGTTAGATGGATAGCATGATAAGGTCAGGTGGGGAATTTGCTCAGGACACTCAATAAAGTGCTGCCATGTGTTAATGATCACAGAACGTTTCACACGACAGGACACATCTGATCAAATTTGATTTCAAAATAGCTTTTTATAACCAAATTTAGGCTATATGTCACGTTCTAAGGAGGAGCATTTTATCTGAACCTATAAGCATACAGTATCTGTCTATGATGTAGGGTGGTATGGACATGGTATAGCCTACTCAGCAACCGGTAATTGTGAATTTTGAATTGATCACTGCCTTTTTCTGTAGCTCATGCTGGTAGAGCACGGCGCTTGTAACGCCAAGGTAGTGGGTTCGATCCCCAGGACCACCCATACACAAAAATGTATGCACGCATGACTGTAAGTCGCTTTGGATAAAAGCGTCTGCTAAATGGCATATTATTATTTTAATATATTTGGTCAGAGTAAAGTCATAACTGAACACCATTATTGTCAAGGCATACATTATGACACACACAACCTTATTGCTCACACATAATATATACTTTTTAAGTTGCGTTTCCACGTGTTTGATTATTATTTTGCATTTGTTTTTGATAACACTAATGTGTTCACTCTACAGTAGCATTTCTAAAATGAAAGCGATCAAAATATTGCTTTAACTTCATTTTTATAACATGGGACTGAACACATCCAATGATAAAAGATCTAACCAATAACACCTGCATGATCAATGTTTTTGTGGAATTTGGGTGTATTTGCAAGAAAGTATTATTTCCAATTTGACTAATGTTCAGGTGAAGGACAAATCTGCCACATAAAGGGAAACCTGGCATTTGCCCTCAACACTTCCTGTAATCACTCTTTATCTACAGTGTATTCGATGTTGGAGTCTCCAATCTTTTTTGAGACAGAATGGCTACTCTTTCTGCAGAGGTTTAGACAGAGCAGTGGCTGGCTGCAGCGGCAAGAACAACGTTTCTCGGGACACCACCCCTCCCCCACCCCGTTCCCCCTTTAAATTATAGCAGCACTTTAGCTAATGAAAGAGTTGAAGACCGGGCACTAATAAAAGCCATTAAGTGAATAAAGCACTTCCCCCTCTAACGAAATTAAAGACTCTGCCCCTTCGGAGAGGGGCAGACTCTGTATTAATATTTATGAAATGCGGAAACATGCCCCCCCCCCATCCATCCAATCCCATCCTGCCCAAGTCCTTCACGCCAGTCCACCTATCCAAGGAGAATATCACTAACCCCTCCTAACTTGAAGGAGGGGCGGGAGGTACGGGCTTGCGGGTGTTGGAGGAGATGTAGTCAAGACAGTCTGTCTCCAGTTGAGCTTGGTTGTACTAGAGGCGAGACTCAGAAGAACCACCCGCTCTTCCTCACGACCCTCAACTCTACCCCACCAAGCTGGGCGTCCCACCATCGGCTATGGGGCGAGAGGATGGAGACTGAGGGTTTCCATGGACAGACCAGGTTGGAGGGAGTGACTTTCCACTGACACCAGTTGGAGTGCTTCAAAGAAGGCTGAGGTATAATGGACGGGTGAAGTATAACGGGTGAGGTTTATTGAAATTCAGAATGTTTTACGTTTATATTTGCCTAATTTTCTTGATATCTTCTAAGATGACTTCCTGACTCTTGGTCCACAGTACCCCTGGGTTGACAGCTATTTGAGATTTCTGTAGTGTCTTGCCTTCAATGGAAAAGGACAAAGATGATAGTTCATGCAAGTCCTGTGGACGGACGGAGACAAATTAAACTTTCTATCTCATATACAGTGTATTCTATAAATGGTGAGGTTTTAGAGTTATAGCTTAGTTTGAAATACCTTAGTTTAGGACACAGATAAATTGACATTATTAAAACAACAAAAATCCACCAAACTAAAGGTAAGACATCATGTATAAAATCAGATGTCCATGCATAAAAACCATAACACCATCCCACCAACCATGATACCATTATGCCACTTTGTCCATCTGAAACATCATCAAATACCCACAAGGACACCTCTGTCTTTGTAGGGATGTTTTCCCTGGACACATCAACCTTCCATAGACAGTTTTTCCCTTTATCTTCACTACTAGTCTGTTACCAAAACCCCATTGCTCATCGCTCTATACACTAGTTGTCAGTTACTCTCCCATGCACGCATACCTTTTCTCATTTCATCACACAAAGTGGTTCAGTTGTCAGAGCTTAACTTCATTATCACTGAAACCCTTCCTATTTCAATAAGATATCCCAGGGGATTTGTAAAGAATGGAAGTAACAAGATTTCCAAACCCACTGATGGGACTGTCCTCATAGGTCTTTTAGAGAAATCATTCCTTCTCCATTTGTGGAGGGCATTATTTCATACTGATCGCTGACTTTGAGTCCAGGTGACAAATAACCAGGTTTGGACCATCATGTCAAAAGCAGTTGAGTCTCAGGTCTGATGAGATAGCAAATTTCTACAGATGGACACCGGTGATATAGTTGTATCTGCTGTCCCATCTGCCCTTGGATGTTTAAGACTATTCTTTGTCCATTAGCTGGAAGACCTAAGAGCTGGTCCTCTTTAGCTGATATTGATGTTCTTTAACAAGATGACCATCATTCTGCCAAACTCTGTTTTCATTGATTCCCCGTAATGTAGTAGTAATTTATTTAACGAACTCTTCCTGTTGGCCTGTTTTTATTCATATTATGTAAATGTTCTAATCTTTCACCGTTTGAACTGTGAAATTGTATGTGTTTTATGCTTTTTTTGTACGAAGGTATCTGATGGGGTGGGGTGCGAAGGATGGGAGGGCGGGGTTTGTCGCAGTTTATGCGCAGGAAGGGCGGTGCCCGCTTTTCACCGCAGTGAGAGTGTGACCTATGACTAATCCTTTTTTGTAATTTTGCAGATAGCCGCACTGTATAACGAACACTGCCCTTATGTCTCAATAGTATGTAAGGCGGTGTAATTTGGGTCCATCACTCCCCAGGTCTGCAACCCTCCCTAATGCCAATGGACATCCACCACTTCTCCTCCTGGGCTATCAATGCTGTAGAGCTTTGGTGTTGTCCTTGAATCACAAATGGAGTTGGAAGAACGAAGGATCAAGAAATAGCATATTCTGGCGGCGGAGTCGTCCTTTCATGATTTTAGAGCTGATGACCATATTCTTCATGATGGACTGGCCCTGAGATTTCCCATTCATACCTTTTTCTATCGAAGTGATCAAAATGTAATTTTTACAGGATTCTAATCATGTAGTTAAGATTCTTGAGCTCTACCATCCCACCTAAATCAACCAGATTGAACCTGGTCCCACATAACCTCCAATGGCTGTATATCTCCGCCCAGGACCCCATTGTGCTTGATCTAACCATGCAGTACTTCTCCTGTCCATGGTGGTGCCAAGCACTTTGGAGGCTTGTGAGCACTCTCCACACTGCATCCTTAACTGGATGTAAAAGATCCCTACATATTTATCCATAGTTATGACAGAGCTTTGCCCAATTCTGATTCTCACCCCTTTTCCCTGAGGTGTGCACTTGTTCACCCCTCCTCATGGATTTAAAAGGATTGGACTGGTTTCATATTTCTCACACCCATCGGATGTTTTCGAGTCCTTGAGGGTGAACGAGTGCAAACTTTAAAGAGAAGGAGAATTGGAATTGGGCTCCGTTGATGCTCTAGTCTAGCGTAAGGTCAAAGGTCACAACTGAACATTTTCCTTTGGGTAAGATCTTAATACATTTTTGATTTGATGATTCCAAGGCCAATTTTTTCACCTCATTGGTTATCTTCTGACCAGTACAGTGATTCCAAATAAATTATTCTAAAAGACTGTGTAAATCTCTGCAATGTATATGACGATGTCATTGTTGAATAGGCCGGGATTCGATGGGAGTCGGGACAAAAGGAGTGGGAGACTAATTATTGTGCATAAAGCAGTTTTGTGGTTTCCTACAAGCTGGCTGCAACGTGGCAGATTTATGGCCAAAATCAATTAGTGTAAGTGCTCCCCGCATTTGACTGAGGCACTTAATCGCCACCAGTAGAGGTCAGATGTTACAGTATCTAAGTACTAAATTAAGACTGTGGACATATTGGCTCTAAAAATCATACTGCTGAGACATTCATTTACCACATGAAATCAGGCACAAAGTTGCTTTCGCCATCAGGTTTTCAATCACAGAGATAATGGGCATATAGGCTACTTACAAATGGGTATATTCTGCTTTCTTTTTATCCTGAATTCACAATGGATGGCATTTGTTACAGTCTCTGGGTGGTTGCAATTACATTCTCTAGATCACATTCACTAAATCGAATAAACTCTCAAAAACATTGACCCAGATATGCTTGAAAAGTATTGTCAGCCTCTGATGTTAAATGTTCAAAGAAGTTCTAATCCAAAGGATACACGTGTACACGTGGATAGATGGCAGCATTCGCGAAAAACTGAAAGCGCGAACCACCGTATTTAACCACGG